TTCTGCAAACCTTCTAGATTATACTGTAAATGAATAATATGAACATAATCTCTAGAATTTAGCAATGAGCAATGGTTTCAATTTGCCCAAGATTTGTGTCCATGCAGTTACTAAAAAAATTAGATGAATCAAGGCTTCTTTAGGAATTGAACTGTGAATCCTGAAATGTAATGCTAAGGTGCATGAAGTTCCCTTAATTCAGATATGTTCAATCCTGATCTTGGAGGACCACTGTCCTGCACAGATTATGCTTAACCTTAAGTATACACACCTGAAGCAATTAATCAACGTTTTCAGGAGTACAAGAAATGTTCAGGAAAGTGTGTATGGCCAGGTTGGAGCTAAACTATAGCTGTGCTTCTCAAACCTGTCTTGGGTACCCCCCACCACTGCACATTTTGGATATCTCCCTCATCTAACACACCTGCTTCAACTCACCAAACATTGGCCCTCTAGATAGTAAACCTCCAAGAGCAGGACTGGACTGAATTAGAGGTGTCCAATCCTGCTCCTGGAGGTCCACTATCCTGCAGAGTTTGACTCAAATTCTAATTTAAAACATCTGAATCAGAATTTCAGAATTTTTAGGATCAGTAGAAACATTCAGGCAAGTGTATTTGGGCAGACTGGAGCTAAACTAACTAATTGGAAATCTGGAAATCTGCCTACCTGCAGACTTCATTTCCAACCCTGGTCCAACACACCTGTCAGTAGTTATCACGTCATTGGTTCTCTAAGAGCAGGATAGGACAGTCCTAATTCTGTGGAGTCCAATCCTGCTCCTGAAGGACCACTATCCTGCAGAGTTTGGCTCAAATCCTATTGAAACACACCTGAACCAGCTAGTGCAGGGGTCTCCAACCCTACTCCTCCAGAGCTACCGTCCTGCAAAGTTTGGCTCCAATCCAAATCAAACACAACTGAACAAGCTAATTAAGGTGTGCAGGGTTACTTGAAAATTACAGACAGGTGTATTCAAGCAAGCTGGAAGCTCTCCAGGAGCAGAGTTGGAGACTCCTGAGAGAGTGTGTTCGGGCAGATGGGAACAGAACGTCTTAGCAGTGATTCCCAACACTGCACAATGTGGGTCAAGGAGTAACTATGAGTGAGCTGATGACCTGAATCGGGTGTTTGGTTTAAAGAGACATGCAAAATGTGCAGTGTTGGGGGGGTTCCAGGAACATGCTTTATAGCAGGGGTCTTCAAACTCGGTCCTTAGGGGCCGGTGTTCTGCAGAGTTTAGCTCCAACCCTAATTAAACACACCTGAACCAGCCAAACAAGGTCTTAAGCCCTAAACACTGCACGAATTCCGGCTGTCCCAGACAAAAGATTGGCATCGTGAAACAATTGTGCCGATTTCTGTGATCGTAGATCCTAATCAGTGGTCCTGTGTCATACAGTGAGAGAGGTTCAAAGACAGCCGTTGTCACGGTCTTGCGACCAAAGATAGTCTACGACGCAGCATGATCATCGCACAGTGTGTTTGCTGCTACGATCAACGTTTACTGACCAACCAATAAAAATGCGACATGGTGCTTAAACGTAAAACTGCTTGCCTCAAGCTCTTATCCCTTCCTCTTTCGTCGCTTTCACTTTTTCTCAGCACACGTAAAAACTACAACTGCTAAAGTGTTATTTATCACGCTCTTATTATTTATCACTAGCGCATGCTGATGACGTTTTATTCTTTTATAGTAACGTGCGTCGTAGCGTATGAGTCAATAGGTGTCATCATCGTACAGTCTACACACACGTCGTAGCCAAGTTTATTAGATCCATGTCGCACAGTGTGACATGCAGTGATCTTATAGGATTGCTAAAATCGTGCAGTGTGTTTTGGGCTTTACTAGGCATACTAGAAACTTCCAGGCAGGTGTGTTGAGGCAAGTTGGAGCTACACTCTGCAGGAAACCGAGTAGTTTGGAGGCGCATGCTTTATAGGACACCCCTGCTCTAATTTTAGGATATTTTGACAAGAGCTCCTGAGGTGACATAGCCGTACCTGCTGAGGGCAGGAGGAGCTTCTGCATCCAAAGAACCGGCCGAGAGGCGTCTTGGTGGCTCCTCCTGAGGCAGCGCGGTGGGTTTTCGCAACAAGAAGTCGCTGACTCCACCCTGCAAGGTTTCTTCTACATGATCCAGAGTCTCGCTGGCCGCCCGCTGCCTCTGAAATGCACGTCTCTGCGGAGAACCTAGGAGAATGCAAGAAAAACGGAGGAATAAGAATATGCACAAATGACCTTCATTGAGTAACACAATCACTGACTGAAACACAAGCTCTGTTCCAAAACCTTCTAAGGCAGAATCACAACTACGGTGAAACCTTAGTGACTGATTTGAGACTCTCTACATGGGCAGTAGTGATGGGTCGTTCTTGAATGATTCGTTCATTTTGAAATCGTGACTCGGGAAGAACGAGTCGTCTCGGGGAGTGATTCGTTCAGTCGCGCATGCGCAACATCCTATAGGTTTAGTACTGGAATTAGTTCATCTTTTTCGAGTCGTTATGGGGCTGTCGCGTGATGAGCAAACGACTCAAACCCGAAGATTCGAGAGATTAACTAACCAATTCTCTTTCCGGCTCAGACTGCATTGGTTAAACTTATGGGGCTGTCAGCCTGTCACGTATTGAACGAACGACTCAAACCCGAAGACTTGTCAGATAAGAGGTGAGGTGAGCTAATCATAGACTAAAGACCCAGGTTAACAATGAATTAATCTTTTCTGTTTCTTATAGCATTATAGTTCTGTCTTGTTTGTATCAATGTTTGCGTAAGTAGTAGATGTGTTAGAGAAGTAACATGTAACATTTTAATTATATTTTGCTAAAATGAACGAAATTACTCGAAAAAAGATTCGTTAATTTTGCTGAAGGAGACTCAAAGGTCCGTTGTAAAAGGTATGAAGTGTGTAGTGGGGGGGGGGGGGGGATTCGTTAATTTTGCTGAACGAGACTCAAAGGTCCGAGTTGGTCAAATGATCCGAACTTTATCACTAATAGGCAGCATTGTGACAGTGTTAATTTAGTATTATTTCTATACTACTATAGCAGGGGTGGCGAACGTCAGTCCTGGAGAGCCCTGCAGAGTTTTGCTTCAACCCTAATCAAACACACCTGAACAAGCTAATCAAGGTCTGAACGGTTACTAGGAAGCTACAGGCAGGTGAGTTTTAATTAGGGTTGGAGCTGAACTCTGACCTGGAGTTCACCACCCCTGTACTATAGCATTTATTAATATTTTCAATTGGCTTTTATTTTTAGTGTGAGCTCCTCACAGTGTGTTCTCCACATCAGCAGGTTTTGGAACGGAGCTACAGAGAAGAAAAGAAGCTCCCCTCAGCCTCAATAATGAGAGCATGTAATGCAATCTATTGCTCATCAGCAGGAAATGAGCATGCAGTACTGACTGACCTTTCACATCAGGTGAAGAATAATGCGATTATTTTATAATTCATTTATCTTCTGTGATCGTAGATCCTAATCAGTGGTCCTGTGTCATACAGTGAGAGAGGTTCAAAGACAGCCGTTGTCACGGTCTTGCGACCAAAGATAGTCTACGACGCAGCATGATCATCGCACAGTGTGTTTGCTGCTACGATCAACGTTTACTGACCAACCAATAAAAATGCGACATGGTGCTTAAACGTAAAACTGCTTGCCTCAAGCTCTTATCCCTTCCTCTTTCGTCACTTCCACTTTTTCTCAGCACATGTAAAAACTACAACTGCTAAAGTGTGATATCTCACGCTCTTATTATTTATCACTAGCGCATGCTGATGACGTTTTATTCTTTTATAGTAACGTGCGTCGTAGCATATGAGTCAATAGGTGTCATCATCGTACAGTCTACACACACGTCGTAGCCAAGTTTATTAGATCCATGTCGCACAGTGTGACATGCAGTGATCTTATAGGATTGCTAAAATCGTGCAGTGTGTTTTGGGCTTTACTAGGCATACTAGAAACTTCCAGGCAGGTGTGTTGAGGCAAGTTGGAGCTACACTCTGCAGGAAACCGAGTAGTTTGGAGACGCATGCTTTATAGGATACTGGCCCTTCAGGAGCAAGATTGGACACCCCTGCTCTAATTTTAGGATATTTTGACAAGAGCTCCTGAGGTGATGTAGCCGTACCTGCTGAGGGCAGGAGGAGCTCCTGCATCCAAAGAACCGGCTGAGAGGCGTCTTGGCGGCTCCACCTGAGGCAGCGCGGTGGGTTTTCGCAACAAGAAGTCGCTGACTCCACCCTGCAAGGTTTCTTCTACACGATCCAGAGTCTCGCTGGCTGCCCGCTGCCTCTGAAATGCACGTCTCCGCGGAGAACCTAGGAGAATGCAAGAAAAATGGAGGAATAAGAATATGCACAAATGACCCTCATTGAGTAACACAATCACTGACTGAAACACAAGCTCTGTTCCAAAACCTTCTAAGGCAGAATCACAACTATGGTGAAACCTTAGTGACTGATTTGAGACTCTCTACATAGGCAGTAGTGATGGGTCGTTCTTGAACGATTTGTTCATTTTGAAATCGTGACTCGGGAAGAACGAGTCGTCTCGGGGTGTGATTCGTTCAGTTGCGCATGCGCAACATCCTATAGGTTCAGTACTGGAATTAGTTCATCTTTTTCGAGTCGTTATGGGGCTGTCGCGTGATGAGCAAACGACTCAAACCCGAAGATTTGAGAGATTAGTTCATTTTGCTGAACGAGACTCAAAGGTCCGAGTCGGTAAAATGATCCGAACTTTATCACTAATAGGCAGCATTGTGACATTGTTAATTTAGTATTATTTCTATACTACTATAGCAGGGGTAGCGAACGTCAGTCCTGGAGAGCCCTGCAGAGTTTTGCTTCAACCCTAATCAAACACACCTGAACAAGCTAATCAAGGTCTGAACGGTTACTAGGAAGCTACAGGCAGGTGAGTTTTAATTAGGGTTAGAGCTGAACTCTGACCCGGAGTTCACCACCCCTGTACTATAGCATTTATTAATATTTTCAATTGGCTTTTATTTTTAGTGTGAGCTCCTCACAGTGTGTTCTCCACATCAGCAGGTTTTGGAACGGAGCTACAGAGAAGAAAAGAAGCTCCCCTCAGCCTCAATAATGAGAGCATGTAATGCAATCTATTGCTCATCAGCAGGAAATGAGCATGCAGTACTGACTGACCTTTCACATCAGGTGAAGAATAATGCGATTATTTTATAATTCATTTATCAGGAAGCAGCTTTTGTCCTGCGCTCCTGCTTGAAATCTCTGAGCCAATCAGATCTCACACCAGTCACATGACTGTAACTAGACCGAGCTACTGTAGCCGTATTGATCCGGTATTGATTCTTATTCTCCAGGCTCACACAGGGCTGAATAAGATCTCCGGGTGTAAAACATTGTTTAAGGAGACTGCAAGATCATTTTAAGGCATCATACATTCCAAACTGTAGCCAGTATAATGATATAGTATAATGATTCCAGGCCCCCTTCATATGCAGCATCACATGCATCCTTGACGGAGAACTGAATCCCAAAACTGCACAAATCACTGAAAAATCAATGGAATATCAAAACCTTCAGCCTAACTGAAAATTGTACTCAACAATTATGCTTCTTAGGAGTATGACAACGTTAATTTAGCAGCTTATGAGGATCCTCCTTCAATCCGGCACAGGGTTATTAACTAAAAAACAACGTTTGTTACTTGAAATAAAGTAAACATTAACCAAATTAAAATAAAATGTAAAAAAAGAGTTAAGTCTGTAGTTTAACTTGATACTAAATAAATAAACATGTTTAAAAAACTATATATATTGACATTCCATATAAATATTTACATTTAAAATATGAAAATGAATACTAAAAAAAACCGTAATACTTAAATTTGAAAACAGAAAATATCAAAATATTTTGAGCATTGAGCAAATAAATAAATAATATAAAAACGCCACTTTTTTGTCAAATTTTTCATTCTGATTGGTTGACAGATGTTCTAAAGGGTTGGTTAATTATTATTATTTATGACAATCATATTTTATTATCTATGGAAAGCAGTTTCAGAAGTCAGACACACTGACAGCGTTTGTGCTGCGTAACTGCAGCTCTATGCAGAAAATGAATCCGGTCAGAGTTAGGATGAACGTGTGAAACAATCACATTTACGCCCAAAAGTGCTGCTGTAACCTGCTGAAACGCTCTTTATTCAGTCACAGCTACTGAACAAAGTCTTTGTGTCTGCAGATCATCAGGCCTATTGAGAGTTTGTTTAGTAGTTCGTATAATGTGAGTTCACTACAGTATTTAATGTTGCTTCACATAAGCCTGTACTGCAAATGGGCCACTAGTGCATTTTTCATGTTTTCTGCAGTGCATTGGACCGAAGTGAACACACTGCTGATGCTCTTCATGCTGGAGGTGATGCTGGAGAGATATGAAAGCAGTGTGTCACCTGGAATATGGAGAGGGATGGGTGTTGTGAGGGCTGTTCGCTGAGCGTCACGCTGTTCTCCGGTGAATCGCACTCCATGATGGTGAGGATCTTCAGCGCCGGCGGCTGCAGGTGCGTCAGACGAGCTTTCTTCAGGTGATGGAAGTCGCCCTCCGTCAGCGTGTACCTGCGAGACCGTTACAGCCCGTCAGGATCCAGAACCAGTGCCAGCTCAAGTCTGATGCATTGCTGTTTTCTGATATTCAGTGGCAGTGCTTCTTTATGGTTGTGAACTAAAGCATGAACTTAATTCTGTGACAGACACCTGGATGTGGGCCGCGACAAAACCGACCAATGTTGAACTCTATTAATCCAAAAAGATCGACCAACGATTAAATCTCTCAATTCAACCATTTAAATTTTGTAATCGAAAAAAGACCAGCCGTCGTCATTTGTTAATCGAACAAAACCGAAGTAAAACATGAACTTGATTCTCATCAGGCTGACGTTCTCGGGTCGCTGCCGCTCTTGACCTCTTAACCTGTGTGTGTGTGTGTCTGACCTTCGACCTTTCTCCTGGTCTTTGGCGCTCTGCTCGTAGATGGCGGCCTCGTTAAAGGACACCCGTCTTCCGGTGAGCGACGCAGACAGGAAGTGATCCGCGTCCGTCTCTCCATGACAGCAGGAAGTGGACAGTGTTTCGCCGCTCTCGAGTCTGATGGTGACGTCTGAAGAAGACAGAGAGAGAAACGACAGTGCTGCATGTTTGTTTCTAATCATAAGTGCTCATATATATATATATATATATATATATATATCTTAATTGAACAAAACTGACCGAAGTTTAAACCTCTAATCGAACAAAACTGAGTGACATTTAAATCTCATTATCAAACAAAACTGCCCAGTCTTAATGAATCTCTTAATTGAGCCCTTGGCCTGACTGTGCTGCTGTGTTTGTGGTGTTCACAGGTACCTTGCGTCGGCTGACTCTCCTCTATGTATGTGGTGTTGGTTTTCTCCAGATCATCACTGGCTCTGAACACCAAACAAACCACATCAGCAGCATGATGAGATACAGTGATTCGTTTAGTTTATAAACGCACACACACACACATTATGTGTGTCCCTGCAGCACAGAAGCAGTGTTGAGTCGCTGGGGTATATTTGTAGCTTCCAGATTTTCAAATATTGTGCTATCCTCACAAACCGTACATCAATGGAAAGCTTATTCAGATTTCAGATGATGCATAAATCTCAATTTGTGGTCCATATGTGGTGATGAAGAGGTTTGTCAACTCCAGTGTTTCCAGTGAACACAAGTCTTAATGATTCTGTTCCAGCAGGTCGAGAGCGAATCGCTTCTGAATGAATGAAGGCTGTTTCCGGAGGTCTGGAGGAGAGAATGTTCCTCACCTGGAGTAGCGTCGCTCTCCTCGACAGCAGCGGTGGCAGAAGACCAGCAGGATGGACAGGAGGACCAGCGTCCCGCCGGCGAACACACACAGCAGCACCAGCAGCAGGACGTAGTTCTCCTGAGAGCCAGACGCCAGCGGCACGTCCTGCACACACACACACACACACACGCATGTACACACACGCATGCACACACACACGCACACACGCATGCACACACACGCACATGCATGCACACACACACACACTCGCATGCATGCTCACACACACACACACACACACACACACACACCAGCAGTGTGTTACACACTGAGATCTCTGTGCTTCTGCTCATCTGAGTCAAAATCATGTGCATTTCGTCCATCAGAGGCATGAGGAACCACAACAGACCATCATGCCATGAACTCCATCTACAGCCTTTCTTTAGCTCAAATCACGGCGCTCGCAACGCAAAGGTCACAGGTTCGATCCCCAGAGAAAGTAAGGATTGACAAAAAATGTATACTTGAATGCAATGCAAAACGCTTTGCATAAATGTAAATATAAACCATAATGTGTCCATAACCACAGATACTGTACTTTTTTTAGATTTACATTAAAAACATTAAATACCGAACCACAGAAGCAAAAGACACATTAAATGCTGAATGAATACCATGCATCCAATATTTCTAAAATTTCTCAATTATTTTCAGATTTTTTGTTTCATAATGACTGTCATTGATCTGAATTCACACTGTTGTCTTCTGTAAAGCTGCTTTATAGAAGAAATTGAATTGGTTTCATGATTGATTAATTTATTTTCCTATTTATTACTCTGTACAAATCAACCATAGTTATGCCACTAATGCTGTAAATAGATTAAAGGAAGAGTTTCATCCAGAAATTATCATTCTGTCTTCAGTGATGTTGTTTAAACCTGGTCATTGGAACATAAACAAAGGTAATTTAAGAAATATCTCAGCATTTTTTGTGCAGATAATGAAATTCAATTTTTGGTTCCTTCAAAATATATTTTTTGTGTGTTTCTATAATAAAGTCATACAGGTTTGAACAACACAGTAAATGATGATAGATTGATCATTTCTGGGTGAACACTGTCTTTAATGTTTATGTATTTGTTTATATAGCACATTTCATATACAGTGTTTTTTAAAAAAACAAAAGTTACATAGGAAGTACATTTTAAAAAGAGACATTTTTAAACGAAGAAACAATAATTGTTGTGTGTGGTCCGTCACTCGAGAGTCTCTCAGCAGCGCTGCATAATACAATTAATTAACTCGGAGGAATCTTCACTTCAGTTTCTGCGTCTCTGAATGAGAAACCAGGACATGAGCGCTAAAATTAGAGACGGAATAAAGCCTTGAGCCATGACGCGTTTACTGCAGCTCCTCGTGTGTGTGTGTGTGTGTGTGTGTGAGTGTATGAGTGAGAGAGAGAGAGTGTGTGTGTTTGTTTATTTGTGTGTGTGTGTGAGTGTGTTTGTTTGTGTGTGTGAGAGAGAGTGAGTGTGTGTGTGTGTGTGTGTGTGTGTGACCAAATGTCCTCACAAGGATAGTAAAACCTGAAATTGAAAACCTGCGGTCCCCACGAGGGAAAAATAATTTAAAATAGTAAATGATGTTTATCTGAAAGTGTAACGATGCAAACAGGCTTTCTGTAAGGGGTAGGGTTAGGGGATAGAAAATATTGTTTGGTCAGTATAAAAGTAATTTCTGTCTTTCACAGGTTTTGCTGACGGTGGGATGCCGTGATTTTGAACACACCCAATAACACAAGCTGGTCATGTTTTCTCGTCCATACAGAATGAACTTGGGAAGAAACAGATTTTCTCTCACTGAGTTTCCAAACAGAGAAGTGCCAGAAGAGGCCGAAAACACTTGGTCTGCAGTTTCTCACACTGATGTTCTGCAGGAAAACGGCAAAAACAGCGGCTTCATTATCAGAGTAACCCATTCATTTCTATGAGGGAAATCAAGACCTTTCCGATAATCGATTTGGTTATTTTGGGGGGGGGGTCTGATTCTTTTAACTTCTTGTATATTTAGTTTTTAGTAAATAAACACCAGAAAAATTGTAAAAAGTTATTTGAAAAGTCTTCTGGAAATTTCTCATGATGTTCCTCTGTGTGTGTGTGTGTGTGTGTGTGTGTGTGTGTGTTGTACTCACAGTGGTGAGGCGCGTCTGTAACGGAGACTCATCACTCATGGTCTGAAAGCGTGTGTGAGACGCCTGTGAGAAACACAAGAGAAGATGACAGCCAGTCAGACGGACAGACGCTTGTCCATCATCAGGACCCCAGAGCGCTGACTCAGCAGCATCAGCAGATTCACTGCAGAACAACGGTCCGTCTGGATCAGAACACACACACACACACACACACATACATACATACATACATGCATGCATAACA